CGGTGGTGCAGAAACAACGTGTGGTGGAAACCATAGAGCTGGTGGCCCAGAGCTGCGGGGACGCGTTGGTCGACGAGCTAGGCAGGCGGCGTTTTGGTGGGCATGCTCTCCGTGTGTCTGGCGCTCGGCACCTCGCCGGCATGGGCCTAGAGTTGTACAAGTTGGCCTTGTTGGCCCGGTGGGCGAGCCCTATCATTATGCGCTATGTCGCCGAGGCGCCCATGGCCGGAATCACCGAGGATGTCCGGAGGCTCATCAAGGGTCTGCCTGAAGGCCATCAGTTTGACCGCGTGTGGCAGGAAGTGGAACGACTTCGGTCGACGACCGATTTGTTGCAAGATCGATTTGCTCGGCTCGCGGTGCAAGAGGAGCAATCCCGCAAACAGGTTGAAGATCTGCACGCCTCGCTGCACCAGCCAGGTGCTCAGTTGCCGAAGGTCGTCCAAAACTTGGGCAGTGGCGCTTGGCACCGAATCCTGGTGGACGGGGTAGCTCACCACCCCGCGCATTGGAGGACTTGGTGTGGATGGCACTTTGGCCACGCCAGGGTCTCTCGTGCAGAGACTGCCCCCAGCGACGGTGCCGGTGGCTCGCTTTGTGATAAATGTTTTAAGCATGTTGGTTGTTAGTGGGTGCTTGGGAGAGTCGTCTGGTTACCATGGGTCGTGGCACCACGGCAGCCCCACGGTTCCCGTGGCGGCAGCGTTTCCAGCACATCACAGCGGAGTGAGACAACGACTCCCACAACCAACCGATGGAAAACGAATTGTCTTATCGTTCTCTTGCCTCAAGTGGTGGGTGGGTGGCCTTCTCTCCTCCCTCCAATTGTTGGAAGGAACAGAGAGCAGCGGTGTGCATGTAACAATTGGGGGGGAGTAGTCAGGGGGGTGGGCGGGTAGCAGCTCGTGGCGTTGATCGTGACATCGTGTGCCAATTTGGGTTCAAAGGTGCACGATCGCCACGTCAGAAACACCCGCCCGCCCATCCCTGGGTGCTTGGGAGAGTCGTCTGGTTACCATGGGTCGTGGTACCACGGCAGCCCCACGGTTCCCGTGGCGGCAGCGTTTCCAGCACATCACAGCGGAGTGAGACAACGACTCCCACAACCAACCGATGGAAAACGAATTGTCTTATCGTTCTCTTGCCTCAAGTGGTGGGTGGGTGGCCTTCTCTCCTCCCTCCAATTGTTAGGCTGCAGCTTCAAATGAACGTCGTAGTGTTTCATATGGGACGCGTGCAGCTTCCAAATGGGAGCCATTCCAGTTTTACACTGGGACCGTGCAGTTTGCATATGGCAGTTGCGCAATGTAGGAGTCATGTGGTATCCTGTCGGCATCATGCAGTCACAGGGGATTGCGCAGTATCCATATGGGAATGATGCTGCGTCGTGTCAGAATCCTACAGTTTCATACGGGAGCCCAGCAGTGTTCATATAGGGTTTCCTCTGAACACCGGGCAGCCTGTCATATTTGAGTCATACTGAGTCACCTGGAACGGTTCAGCTTCATGCGGGGATCATGCGGTTTTATGTTGGAACCGTGCTAGTTCACATGTGAATCGCTCAGTCTTCATATGGGTATCGTGCAGCTCCACGTGCAATTCTTACAGCTTCATGTGGGGATCATGCAGCATCCATATGGAGAGCATCGCGCTTGTACATGCGATCCATTCAGTTTCGTACATGACTCACACAGTAATCAGTTGGTAGGCATACAGTCCCATATCGGGATCGTAGAGCTTCTCAAGCGAACCATGTAGCATCAACCGTTACCAATCCGGTTTCCGATCGAGTCTTGTAGTTTACTCAGAAGAGCCATGACGAAACATACAGCTTCCACATGGACATCATACAGCTTCGCACGGGAATCATGTTGTGGAGTCTTCTTTTTAAGACCCAATGGTGTTCGTCTGCGAATGCTACATTGTTCGTGCCAGGGCCATACGGATTTTCGCATGTGAACCAGGTAGCTTCAGATGGGAACCAGGCAGCTTACACATTCAAGTCCGAATCGCAGCAGTGCCCATACAAGAAGCGTAGTTTCACACAATAACTGCGTGGTCTCCGCATGGGGTCCGCAGCATTTCCATACGATAAACACAAATTTGATATGATACGAGCGCTTTGTACACTGTGGACGGATTGTTTTCATGTGAGGAACGTATCGTTTTTGTATGGAAGGTTTGCAGTCTTCGCATGAACAGCGTACCGTATTCATGTGACGTGTGTTCGGGCGTCTATCTGAAAACCGTATAGTTTTCAAATGAGGCGCGTACAGTTTTTCATTTGATACGCCTGAAGACAATGTATGGAACGCATACAGTTCTAATGCGAATGGGTGACAGCTTGCTTGTGATATGCATACAAGTCTCCTATGATGATCGTAAGGTTCTCATATAAGGCGCGTCCAGTTCTGTTTTATGGTGTGTGGAGCGTACAGCTTCCGTTTGGGAAGCGCACGTCCTCCATATGGACGCATGTGGTAATTGGGGCACATGCCCATGCAATGTCAGTCGATTTTTCCATATGAGAAGCGTGTCGTTTCGTATGGGATGCGCGCAGCGTTCTATCAGAAGCGAGCGTTTTTTGGCTTTCTTGCCAGGAGGCGCGTGCAGGTTTCATATGGGAAGCGTACGGCTTACACGTGACAGCCGTAAGGAATTCTTGTCGTTTTCATGCGGTAAGCGTACGGTGCTCACACACGGGGGCGGACAGTTTATCCACACGGGAACCCTCTTAATTTTCCACACGAGAACCGTGCACATTTTTTACGTTAAGCGTCCAGTTCGCAGATGGGAAGCGTACAGTTGTCAGATATGAAGCGTGGACTTGTTCACCAGAGAATCGTGAAGGTTTTAGGTGACGAACACGACGTTCCCCCACCCGACGGAATACCACACAACCATCATTTCCCCCCTTACCTTCCTTACAAGGCAGTCAGCGTAGCAAACGGAGGGCGGTCAGCCCCAGTAGTAATAGTCGTAGTGCGACGAGGGGGAAGGGGGGGAGGGAACATATGTGCATTCTCTCCTCCCTCTGCTCATCCAGGTTTTCGGGCAGTCTGCAAGGCGTCCCGCGGAAGTCGTAGGTTGTGTATGCATTTGAAAGGTTGTTGGAGTGTTCTTTTGGATAGTTTCCCTTGCCTCTGTATGCTTCTGAAAGGGGAGGGGTTACGATGACGCCGGTGATGGTGATGCTGACGTTGATGGGGCTGCTGATGGTGTTGATGTAATGCTGACGCTGACGATGCTGCTGCTGATGATGGTGCTGATGATGATAATGGTGATGCTGATACTGATGATGCTGAAGAAGATAATGCTGACGATGCTATGAATAATGATGCTCATGATGATGATGCTGATACTGATTATGATAGTAATGATGATGATGGTAATGATGCTGATGATGCTGGTGGTGGTGATGATGATGATGATGATGATGATGATGCTGACCGTGATGGTGATGCTGATGGCAACGATGAGGTTTCGGTTCCCGCAGTTGGCGATGATGACGACGACGATACTGATAGGTTGATGATGATGCCGATGGGGTTGGCGATGCGATATGTGTGTTGATGATGGTGGCGTCGATGACCGTGATGATGATTATGACGATGACGATGGTGAAGATGCCGATGATGCTGCTGATGCTGATGCTGTTGCCGAGATTGGTATTTACTTGATGTGATGATGCTGGCGAGGCATCTGATTATATCATAGAGGGGATGCGGGGAATGGCGAATGGTGGTTCTGACGCTGCTAATGATGATGCCCATGATGATGATACTGGTAGTGGTGATGAGTTTGATGATTACTATAATGCTGATGATACTGATGATGCCGACGATGATGATGATGCTGATGGTGATACAGATGCCGATGCTGATGCTAATGCTGACGATCATGCTAATGATGTTGATGATGATGCTGGTGATGATGCTGATGCTGATGCTGCTGATGATGATTACAATGATGATGCTGATGATGCTGCTGATAATTATGATGCTGGTGATGATGCTGATGCTGGATGCCGATGATGATTATGACGTGGATGGTGATGCTGATGCTGATGATGATTATGACGATGATGATGCTGATAATGATCATGCTGCTGTTGATGATGCTGATACTGATGATGATGATAATGCTGCTGCTGCTGATGATGATGATGATGATGATGGTGATGATGATGATGATGATGATGACGATGATGATGATGATGATGATGATGATGATGATGATGATGATGATGATGATGGTGGTGGTGGTGGTGGTGGTGGTGGTGCTGGTGGTGGTGCTGGTGCTGGTGCTGGTGTCGGTGCTGCGTCTGCTTCTGCTTTTGCTGTTGTA